TTTTTTTTTTTTTGGCAAACTAAGAATTTCCTTCCTGATAAAATGAACGGCGGGCGCCCCGATTGGGCGTCGCGTTGGAGAGGATGTGACATCAGGCACATCTCTGGCTGGGCTGGATGGCCGGCTGCCGAGCAGGGCAGCCCGGGGGCCGGTGTGTTAAATGCCAGCCCAGGTGCTGGAGCCTGAGCACAGAGAGCTGCCGGGCCCGTGTCCCGGGCTCTGCCTGCTCCGCCCGGCTCATGCGTGCACAGCCTGCTCCGGAGAGCGCTCCGGCCGCCGGGGGCTCCGCGGGGACCGTGGAATCTGAACTCTGGAAACCAGCCACAGAGTGAAAAAACAGCGCTTGGGCAGACAGAGCTGAGATGGATGATGAGAGAACAAATCAAAATGCCAGCAAATTGCAAGGAGCTGGAGGCCAGGCATGTGCAGCGTCTCCATCAAACCCGCTGATGAGGGGTAAGTGACGCTCCTGCCTGTGCCCAGGCTGCGCTGGCTCCCTGTGCCCTGATTCGGGACAGGTCCTCGGTCCGTCCCTCCGAACACCCCCATGCCTTGGTACTTCTCAGGGGATTTTGAAAAAAAGTTATTTCTGTTTGATACTGCATTTTTTTATCGTTTTTCTTTTGTGTCATAGAAAAGAGTGGTTGATTTTGTAGTACGTTTTGTGCAAGCAGAAATAAGTGCAGCACTTGGACCTCAGCATACTGAAAAATAAGTTGAAATGTGGCATGTTTGACTTAAATGAGTGCCAGCAGGAAGCTCAGCTCTGGCTCTTTTTCTCTTTTTCTTTTTCTTTTTGTTTTTGTTTTTGTTTTTGTTTTTGTTTTTGTTTTTGTTTTTGTTTTTCTTTTTCTTTTTCTTTTTCTTTTTCTTTTTCTTTTTCTTTTTCTTTTCTTTTTCTTTTTCTTTTTCTTTCTTTTTTTTTCTTTTTCTTTTTCTTTCCTTTTTCTTTTTTTTTTTTCTTTCTTTTTCTTCTTTCTTTTCATTCCCTTCCTCCTTACTTTCCTTCTTTCTTTTATCCTTTCTTTTGACTATTTTAACTTTTGCTTTTCTTTTTTGTCTTCTCTTTCTTCTTTTTTTTCTTTTTCCTTTATCTTTTATCCTTTCCCCTGCACTTTAAGATGAACAGACCTAAGTGTTGTTTGAGCCTACTGGGTTCTTCTGCAATGGCATTGTTGTGACCAATGCTGTTGTGGGCACATAATAGTGAGCAGTTACTCAGACAAATAGCCTCACTCTGTTCATTGCTTTGTGTCTGGCCCAGAGCCATTGAAAACATGACATGGTAAAAAAAGACAAGTAATTTAACTTCATATCCTTAGCTGGACGTGTTCCATGTAGCTCTGTTTCTGTGAAGTTGCTCCTTCATCAAATGGCGAGTGCAGAGAGAATGAGGTAAATTCAGAAAATGTGACTTTATGCTGTTCTTGCGCCTTTCCTGGGCTGTTCAGGATGTTTCCATTAATACCAAATTGAAAATTAAGACCATAAAACCAAAATGCAAGGCTGACCAGTCTATCTGCAGTGTAGTCTGCCTGTCCTCGTGTGTGTCACGTATGTACAGCCTGAGGCTGGGGTGAGAGGGAAGGCAGAGATGTTATTAACAGTGTGAACCAGTCCACACTGGAGATGAGCTCCAGCAAAATAGAGGGTGGAAGGAGGGAATCCCACATGGCACAGTGCTGGGCACAGATCATTTGGTCCTTTGAAAATCAAAGTTCAGTCCATTCCTTTTGTGTCTGCCTGTTCCTTAGTAGAGTCACTAAGCTCTTCTGGCAATTTCCAGCGGCAATGTATTTGGCTCAGGCTGTGTATATCACAAACTTTAAGGGGCAGCCTTTGACTATGAAAAATACCATTTGTAATCTGTTCTATATAATGCCTTGGGATTTTTTATCTGCAAATATGAATGCAAGGGCATACCTTCACTGGAAGGACTTCAGAGCCCCTTTCAAGCTGCACTGTGCATGAGAAGCACAGAAGGAAACCAGCCTGGGGACAGGCACAGAGGATGCAATGCCCTCACATGGTCAGAGGTTGGAAAAAGTTGCTTCAGCCATCACCACAAAAACCAGTGCTGTAGAAAGGTCCTGTAAGAGCTCTGTTGTGCAAGGGAGCAGTCAAAATTTGCATGTGTGGATGGTTGTTGCTATAAGGCTCCCTCTGCTACACCACCCTGCCAGTGTCACGTGCCTGAGTGATGGCAGTGCATTCAAATATGACCAGAGGTTTAATGGAACCTCTGGGCTGGCTGGAGTCTTCTGCACTGCAAGGGGAGCTAAGTGACCCAAAGCCACTGAAAGCCAGTGGGGTTTGGATGTCTAGATGCTGAGCTGCTGGGGTCTGACTCCACCTCCCTGTGGACTAAGGTGTGGGTGAATTTCAAATTTGGACAAATTATCTTGTTTCTTTGTTAAAGAGCAGTTGTACATATTTTTGACAATCAGGAATCCTTGTTGCAGTGGTGGTACATACAATGAACACAGCTGTGTCCCCCACATACGCCAGCCTTGCTACTTCACGTGCAGCTCTGGTGGGCAGAGTGTTTTGAGTACTTTCATGAATGTCACTAGTTCAGGAATTTGAAAGCCTGTGGTCAGCTGGAACTCACATTTTCTTAGGCCTTAATCAAATACAATACAGATCTTTCATATTCTGACAGTGTGCCTCCTGGCAGTGAGGGCAATGCGACATGGAAACCCACTGCAGCATTTCTCCTCTTCCAGGCAAGAAACACGAGTTCCAGCCTGGAGCAGGCAGAAAATAGAGATATTGTTATTTGCCAGAAGGTGATGCCCTGGGTCAAGAAACTTGGGAAATTTGCCATCCCTTCCAGGAAGCTTGTCTCCCTGACATTGCTTCAGGTTAGAGGTGTTTGCTGCAGATGGAGATAGGGCAGGAAAGACATCAGCCTGGGGCTGTGCAGTTCATGGCAGCAGATCTGGAGTTCTGCCATCACAATTAGTCATCAGTCAGGCCTTTAATACCACTCTTCCAAAAGTATCCAAAGCTGGTGTGATGGACTCCACAGGGCTCCACAGGACTCCAGTTCCACCTGGGATAAAACTCTCAGTTTCTCTGTTACAGAACTCGCAGATAAATCATGTCTTAGCACATATCTCTATTATTTTTCACTGACATTTATTTTTGATGCTTATATGGTCAATCTTTTTACTCATTTTTAAGACTTGTAAAATTGCAAGCTAATGGCCAGTCCACAGATCTGGCTTTTTGTAGAATTTCAGTAGAAACCTGTCTTTTCTCAAGCAAGGACTGAATGGATAAAATCTGCACATGGATACGTCCTTCTTAGTAACCAGAATTCTGACATGATGATATTACAAGTTGGTACAATGCACAGGTACAGGCACAAATGGCTGCCAGTATTTGTGTGGCCAAAAAAATGTTCAAGTTGCAGCTCAAAAAACTTGTACTTCCATCAAGATTTTTAGAATTTCTGTAAACACATTTCCCTTACAACTCAGGCAATTTAGGCAATGGCATTAGTTTTCAAATGAGGAGAAGCTTTTTGCATACCCTGGAAACACAACTGACTGTAATACAGGCAGGATCAGCAAGAACAACAGCATAGTCAGATAAGCATCAATTTGACACACATCACAGGGTAAAGCTGTTTTAATTCAGTTCAGTTAATAATTCTGTGCTTTAATAATTGTAGCCTAGTTTTTCTATCCATATAAACCAGAACCACAGCTTCCAGAACTGGCTGTCCATTTGCTAAAGTGAAAGGATCTTTGGGAGCCTAATGAAAGTGTGTAACTGTTGTGGGATGCAGCCCATGGAACATAGGAGGAGGCAGGCAGAGCTCAAATAATGCCAATAACAAAGAATACAAATTCCTTTAAAAGCTAGTTCATAGACTCATAGCCAGGTTTAGGTTGGAATGGACTTTTAAGGGTTGTCTAGTCCAACACCCCTGCAATGAGCAGGAACATTTCCACCAGACTGGGTTGCTCAGAGCCCCATCCAACTTGACCTTGAATCTTCCCAGGCATGGGACATCTACCACCTCTCTTGGCAGCCTGCTACATTATTTCACTACCTCATTTTAATGTCTGGTCTAAATATACCTTCTTTTCATTTAAAACCTTTATGATCATCAGTTTATGTGTAAACATTGTTTTAAAGAATTATAGTGGCTTATTAGGGTTTTTTGCTGAAGGCAGACTCCCCGCTATTAAGGATTCCATTCCATACATGTACTCTATTATAATTCCTGAGAACTTCAGTAACTCAGCAACTTGGTCACTGGAGTTTTCTCTGTAGTTAGTGGTAGGAGAGTGGGACATCTCCAGAGAGCAGCAAAATGTCTTTTCACAGGAAGTTGTGGGAAGTGCCCTCTGTCAAGGCTTCCCTTCCTTCCCAGGGGGAACCTGGGACATTGACATAGAGCAGACACTGGGTTTTGAATGCTGGAACATACATATCCCAGAAGGATTATTGCTGTCAGTTGGCTCTGAGCCACAAAATCTGTAATACTGAAGATCTCCCTCTATTAATATTTGCACGGTATATACGTGCTGTACCTCACTTTGTGGTTTCAACAATGCAGAGAGCACAGCTATTACTTAAAATGCACCTCTCACACCAGACACTGAAAACTGAAAGATGGAATCAACAAGCAGCACAATTTGCCTCCTTGTACTTTGGTCCCTTCTCCTGCCAAGTGTTGTTGATTCTAGTCCAGCTCAGGGCAGGGGTAAATGACTGATCAGCCAAAGCCTCTTCAAAACATATTCCTTTTGAGTTAATTGGTAAAATGTTGTAAGTTTATGAAAAAAAAGGCCTTGGAAATAATTCAGTGAGAGGGACAAGCCCAGCCAGAGCCAGGTGATGTTCTGCAAATCCCTCTCCTGTCTTCTAAAGGGGAATGCAGCTGTGCAGTGCAAACATAGGATGAGTTAAAAATGCACCCAGAGAGAAGATATCCTCTTGTCTGTATCCCTCACAGCATCTGCTCCAAAGAAATCTTGGCAGCTCAAATAAAGTAGAAGGGAGGTCACACAGTTGGGATAAAATATGCTATTGAAATAGAATTTTTAGCCTTTTTCCTGTCTTTGTTTTCATACAGACTTTGTTTCAGACTGGTCTCCTTTACATGAGGCCTCTATCCATGGGCGTCTGCTTTCTCTGAAGAAGCTCATTGAACAGGTACCTCTCCACTGATTTCTTTTCAGGGTTTGTTCAGTGGATGAATGCAGTTTGTGCTTTGCTGTGAAACTTCCAGGGTGAGAAAGTCGTGTTAACCAGGCTGCAGTGAAATCTGCATGCAACAGGCTTTTTTTTTTCCCTACAATCAGTTCCTTGCCCAGCACAAACTTCGTGCACTAACTTGATGATGTACTGAACTGTCCTGGGCGATGAGTTAACTTCGGCAGAGGTAATGAGACCCTGATCACTGGGATCTCTGGATGGCTGAGGGCAGCTCCTCTGCAGCTCCCGTGTGTGCCTGTGAGCAGTTTTGGGTGCCCCAGCTGAGGGTCAGCTCTGGATCCAGTCAGGGATCTGGTTGAGGCTTCAATTCAGTCACCCAGACGTTTGTTTCTGAAGTGCCTGAGTGTATCCCAAGGCCCTGGTCCCACTCCAGAAGGTCAGGGATAGGTAGAAGTGATTTGTGAACCTTACCACTTTGTTTCTTCAAATCCCTGGGTTTAACCTGTGAAGGAGTTGATGGAAAGGGAAGGGGCATTGGAGACTCTTCCAGCTTAGTCTTCTGGAGCACCAAGACTGCTAGAAACAAAAGATCTTGTAGAATCCAAACAATGTTTCTGATGCATTTCTTTCCTTCAGTGGTTGCCTCCAGGCAAAGAGCAGAAAATACTTCAAGAGCATTTCAGGGTTCAACCCAGTCAAATAACCACAGACTCAGTGGGGAGAAGGTCAGAAGGCTTGAGCAGTGATAGAGAAAAGCAGCAGTCCTGGCCCTGAAAGTAGCAACTTTTCATAATTCTCTTTTATTTCAGATTTTGCTATCTGCAGTGTAGTAGAAACCAAATCACGCTGAGTTCCTAACAGGATGTATTTTCCCACTGGACACTCCACTAAGCTTTCTGTGCTGGTTTTCAGTGTGCACAAGGCATGACCTCAGGTACTCTGTGCCAGTATCCACTTCATCCAAAACATCACAGCCTCTTCATCCTCTTCATCCTTACTTTTTGAGGTGAATAGGTTCAGGCAGTTGAGGAAGGTCTAGTTACATAAAGCTTTTAAAGAAGGGTTTTTTTGTTGTTGTTTTGGTGTGGGGTTTTTTTGTTGGTTTTTTTTGGTTGGTTGTTTTTTTTTTTCATTGCTGGTTTTTGTATGGGGGTTTTAGTAGCTGTTTGTAATGATATTTTCCATTGTCTTATCAGGGGAGTGATGTCAATCTTGTCACAGCAGACCAGGTGTCTCCCCTCCATGAAGCCTGCCTAGGGGGTCATGCTGCCTGTGCCAGTGTCCTGTTAAAACATGGTGCTCGGGTGAGTGCGTGATGGACACACCACTGTCTCTAGTTTCAGTGTGTTGTATTACCACACTTTAATGGTACATGATGGCAGAGTATCTCTGTGATTTATATTCTGTACTTAGCTCTGCTTAAGGTACTTACGAGATGCAGGTCCTAAAAAAGTGATCCAAAAAAGCAGATGTAAGAAGCAGCTATTATTGTACTTTAGATGAGGATGAAAGGTTCTCATCTTTCACAGGAACAAGGGGAAGTTCATCTTGCAAAGTGTTTGTTATCCTGCAGAAGTTAAGGGTGTTTTTTATGCACACATTAATCTGGTTGGTATCAATATTCAGAGTCTTAAGTAGAGGCACAGGAATGTTGGGATCAACTGACAATAAAATGGGAAAGAAATGGAAATAAGTTGCAAATAAAATGGTGAAATGGTGTCTCATGGCCACTACTTTCAAGCTAATGTCAAAATTATAATGAATAAGAAAATTGATTCATATGTACATTACCTTACCAGTAAAAAACCCTTTCTGATTAAAATTAAAAAAAAAAAAAAAGGAAGGGCTGCACACATTCAGCCAAAAATAGACTGTTTCAGGAGAGGGCTATGGGTTGGTGTGTTTCAGCTAAGATAACTGAGAAATGGTCAGACTTTTAGCTTGGTAGCTCCTGAGAGACCCTGGAGTGGCCGTGATCATTTATAAAAATTATCAAAAACCCTATATTCTGCTGAGAAACTGGTTAGTTGTCATCAATTCTGAAACACTGAGAAGATAAAAACACTTGCCGGATTGTGTTATTTTCCCCCAGGTGAATGGAGTCACTCTTGACTGGCACACACCATTGTTTAACACGTGTGTCAGTGGCAGTGTGGCTTGCTTGAATTTACTGCTGGAGCATGGAGCCAGCCTGCAGCCTCCCTGTGACCTGGCATCCCCCATCCACGAGGCTGCTAAGAGAGGTAACCCCACAGGCATCAGCCCTCCCTTCCATGCTACTAGCAGTGTGCTGCAGTGGAGGAGAGAGATAAAGAAGATAATTTTCTTGCTTTGGGTCATGTAAAATGCCTTGCTAATTGGTCTCATCATGAGGGGTGCAGTTCTTCCCACCCCTGTTTCTCATCAAGGGCAGGTCAGCTCAGCTGTCAGATCCTCTGAGTTCACATGGTGACACCTGGAAGGGAATGCATTGTTCAAGTCAGCTGCCTGCAGTGTGGACATTTGAGGGAGACATCTGGCTATCTTCAAAAGGAATGGAGAGAAACATGGAGTGATTCATCTCATCTTCAGTAGACATCTGAAATGAGTCAGATAAAATGTGAGGGCTTTAGCCTGTGAGGCTTTAGCCTGTTTTGCTAAACGTGGCTTTTCAGCTTCTGTTTTGCTGACTGGTTCCATTGGAGTGAATGAAAGTATTACACTACCACCTCTTGACAAAACTTTGAATCTTTGCCAAACTACAGTGCTGCAACAGGGAATTTGCTGAAAAAAAAAAGGCCTGATCTCTGTGAGTTGACTCTTTCTTTATCCCTTTTAAGGTCATGTGCAGTGTGTCGAGCTCCTTGCATCCCGTGGGGTAAATATAGATCACAACATCAAGCACCTGGGTACTCCTCTTTATGTAGCGTGTGAGAACCAGCAACTGAACTGTGCCAGGAAGCTGCTTGAGTCAGGTAAAAACAAAAATAAAGAATGGTGTACTTCCGTTTCCTGCAACATCTATCTTTGGATTATCTCTGTGTTTTGGGACCAGGTGATGTGCCACTCCTAATAGCAGCCCTGGTTAAATGTGGTAGATCAGGCTCTTCTTGACCCAGGAGTTCAGCTTGGTAGCTCCCAACAAAATGATGGGTGATCCTGAATTTCACATGGCTGATTGTGCCTGGAACAATCTTTCCTTTCCAGTGTTCATGCGTGTGATGCTGCAGTTATTTGAAGTGGATAGGAAGAAATTCAATTTTTTAATTTTTTTTGCTCCTCTTTACCCAAAAGAACTGACTCAGCCACTTTTACATCATATTTCTGCAAGCATATTTTAATTTCCAATGAGTTCATAAAAGGTTTGAGACATTAACAACACAGAAGAAGGTTCAGCACTGTATCTTTCATATCACACAAACCTAGCTGTAAGTCTGTATGCTTGGATAATTACACAAAACCATTTCTTGTTATCTACAGTAGTACAGGTCTTCTTGTTATCTACAGTAGTACAGGTCTTCTAGCTAAAGGGGTTATATAACCTAAAGTGGCCACAGAGCTGGTACAAAAGTGATGCACCAACAAAGCTACTTTGGAAAAAACAAGCAAAAATCATATATAACACCTTTTAGGTAGGTCACTGTTTAGTATAATGACCTTTTTTGGGAAGAGGCCAAATACAAATTAATCTAAATATTAAATGGTTGAGAACTATTTTCTTTTTTCTACTAATTTTTTTTCTGCTGCTTCCTTTATATGGGAATGTGTACTATAAAAACCTTCCAGTTTTGAATTAGTTCTGCAGCTCACCTTTCTTAGGGTGCTTTAGGAGGCATTAATCCAGGGTAATGAATGGGGGAACTGTCATCAGGGGTGCTTATTCTCTCTTCTGCCAAGAACCTCTAGAGCTTTTCTATCCTCACATGTTTTTCCCTAACATAGACTTTGGCATTTGGAAATCCCACTAGCTTAAGCCTCCAGTCCAGAGGGGTTGAAATCCTGTGTTTATATTAAGGGATGGGAAGCAGAGGTGGGCCATAGGCATTTGTCTTGCTTCAGGATGTCCATGGGCTGGGCTGGGGGTGAGGGACTTCCTCATGCACCATTCCTCCGGGATCGTTTTCTTACTCAGCCCCACTGCTCAGCCAGCGAGAGTTGTGCTTGTGCAAACTGTAGCACCAAGCCCAGCGTAAGGGAGTCCACCCCTGCCTGCATTTGTGTGTTATTCAGACAAATAGCAGCTAGTGCAGTGAATGAAAATGGGCTACTGTTTAATCATTTCTCTTTGTCATTGTTCTTTGCCCTCTCTTACTGTTCAGGAGCAAATGCGAACAGCGGCAAGGGCCTGGACTCCCCTCTGCACACGGCTGCCAGGAATTGCAGTGTGGAGCTGGTGAAGCTGCTGATTGACTTTGGAGCAGATGTTTGGGTGAAGAACGCTGAAAACAAGAGGCCAGTGGAGCTGGTCCCACCTGGCTGCCCTGTGGGCCAGCTGTTCCTGCAGAGAGAAGGTGCCCCTTAGAACTTGTGTTAGTTAGGGAGAGCCCACACAGATGATTGCAGAAGGCTATGCTATTCCAGGCTGAAAGCACTAGAAAACTGGGAATAACTGAGCTTGCCTTCATTTGCTGACTTAGGGACATTGTTCAAGTGCCAGAATATAGTGGTGCACTAGCAGAGATAATGTAAAAAAAATAACCTTTCCTGAACCTCCAGATTTTGAATCTACTGCATCAGGAGGCAATCATACAGAGGTTGCCATATAATACAAAATAGAGTTGAGGGTGAATAAACAAGCAAAAGACTCCTTAGAAATAAATGGTAGCTTTTTTCATTACCTAAAACTTTGAATTTAGCGAGAATCTCTCGATTCCCTTGTGTCAGGTGAAGTGTGCTGACAAATGCAGGCAGCAAATCACCTCTGATGGGAATTGAGGCTGGGTAGTGAGGTTGAGGTTTGGGATCTCTGGCTATACAGTAGATGGTCAGGTTTGTACATCTCAGTGCAAATGCATAAATGGAGATTTGCAACCCCAAAAATTTTAATGTATGTAATAGTAAAAAAAAGTACATTGAAGAATTTGTTTTCTTTTTCATTGCCCTTTTATTCTTGGCTCAAACTTTACATGGATTCAAAAGTATCTTTAAAATGAAAGATTGCCTGATTTTTTTTTTTGGACATTAAGGAAAATTGCACAGGAATGATATATGGAATTATATATTTATAGTAATTTATACACTAGGCTTTCTCTAAAGACCAACTTTATGTTCTGAATAATAACAGCAGTATCAAACCATAAACTTAAATTTTAGGAAGACTCCATTTTGTACTTGTGAATTAAATAGTTCCAGGTAAATTTATTTTATTTTATTGATTATGAAATCTTTAATGAAGTATGGAGAGAAATGTTACTTATTATTATTGAGAGAAATTTAGAATAAGATTTCTAGTGTCTACTCATTTTTGTACTTGTCTTCTTCCTAAGGTTTTCTCATTCAGTCAGCAAGCTATATACATTACTAAATAATCTGGATTTTCAGTGTTTTAAACAAATTGGTGATGGTAGGGTTCATACCAGTTACATGTTGATGAGATTGTTGCCATTGAAATATTCACACTCAGATAAAATTGGAATGACAAAATGATGAATCAGGCCCTGCTTAAAATAATAATATGAAAGTGGCATGGAAACACCACACCTGTGCTGTGCATGTTACGCCTGAGCAGCAGATATTTGGTTTCCCAGCCTAATCTATGGCACACAGAGCAATGATCTGCTTGTTTTCCAGTCCCTGCTGCATTTGATTCCTGACTGCCATGGCACTGCATGTGTCCTGTTTATTTGAGATAGAAAAACCTTTCAGGAGCTGGCCTAGAAACACTGCTCAGGCTAAGCTGACAGCATGGGCAGCGAGGAACTTTTCTAAGTGAAATTCAGCAATCAAAATCAGAAACAATAAATGCCTGAAGGGAATTTTCCTGTGGAATAGTGTTTTTTCTGATGTTCTCCAACGTGTCCTTCTCTGCATGGGGTCGTGCCTGTGGACAGCAGATGTCTGTCTTCTTTGGCTGGCTGAACAATTGCAGTCTAGGAGAGTGGTGCAAAAGCTGCTCCCATGGCAGACCCCAGCTGCTGGAGCCCTGCAGCCCATGGCCAGACAGGCTGCAGGGAGCGTGTTTGGCCACCAGAGATGAGTTGGTGAGCGTGCTGACCCAGTCAGCCTCCCAGGACCAGCCCAGAGCAGGTGTAGTGCATGTGGTGGTTCCCTTCCTAGTAGTTCACTGTGCTGCTGGACCATCCCAATCCCTGGTTACATCTCAGGGACAGTCCTGTGTGTGGGTGGGAGAATTAGTGAATGCTCCAAAAATGTCCTGTATTTTTAAAGAGTGTGCTTGTGTTTGCAAAATATTTTCCAGTGTAGTGTCACTGCTTGTGTTTTGATAAGTCTTTATGTTTTGGGTTTGGTTGTTTTTTCTTTTAATGGAAGCCTTTGTTTTTTCAATGAGATGTTTTCAGGCACAGCATTTATCTTTGGGGTCAGAGTCAAGCACAAGTGCAGTGTGATACTGCAATAGTTTAACTAGCTTGCCTTGTTTTCTGCCCAAGAGCAGGGTAACAACTCGTGTGCTGGCTCCTAGCAGAAGGGTGTAGCCCTTTGCATGGCCCTTGTGATAGCACAGCAGCTTTCAGCCTTGCAGAGCTGCTGGAAGTGTGTCCTGCACGAGGGAAGTCTCAAAAGCTGATCAAAGCTGCCACCTCACCACATTATTGTTGTGGCACTCCTTCCTTCCTTCCCTCTGCTCTGCAGGAGGGAGGGCACCTGACCTGTCCCTTCTGAGCTCACTCACCTCCCTCTTGCTTTCTGCAGTGCCCTTCTCATGTCCTCCCCACCCCCTGCATCCAGCCCCCTTGTTGGTGCCCATCTCCTTACCTGCCCTCCCACAGCCCCTGCCACCCTGCACACCCCTGTGCAAACGATGCTCTGGAGTGTTGAACGCTGACAGGTGCCACAGGTAAAACTTGATAGGGGATCTTCCTCTTCCTGGAAAGGATAAGTGACCCAAACAAGTGTATAATGCTAATATACCTTGATTTTTTTAGTAAAGTGACAAAGAATCTTCAACAGGCCTTCCATCTATCAATGTGGTTAACCTGGAAGGTTTAAATAAAGAACTATATAGTGTTTCTTTTGCTTTGTGTTCGTCAGTGTCATGAAATATGCCTCCAGAAAGCAGTGGACTGAAAACTTCGATCTCACTGGAGGAGTGAGAGGAGGGAAGGGCTTTTAAAGCACCTTTTAAAGTATCAATCATCTCTTCTCAGACAGAACAAGCATCTGTACAGCTTAAAAGGCAAAGGCTGATGCTGCTGATGCCAGCTGAGTAATGACAGAGTGACTAGGCATGGACTGGATTGCAGGTGGGCAGCTGTCCTTTGGGGGGTGCAGGTCTGACTTTTCGCTGCTGTGTGTGAAAACCTGAGGAGAGGTTGGTTACAGGAGGTGGGCTGCACAGTTGCTGTTTCAGGTTTATAATCTTGTCATTATAAAGCCATGTGTGTAACCTCTTCCCTGGATCTTTCTCCAGGGCCACTGTCCTTGATGCAGCTGTGCCGCCTGTGCATCAGGAGGTGCTTTGGATACAAGCAGCATCAAAAAATAACTGGACTTCTCCTCCCAGATGAGCTGAAGCATTTCCTTCTCCACATTTGAGCCTTTGCATGTTCAAAATGGTGCCTTTAATAACACAGCAAGGTTTGTTGACCTTTTTCATCACTAGTGTCACCAGTGTTTGCAGTGATAGTTTATGGCAGTTTTTGGTCACCAATAAAGCCTGGGACTGACCAGCTTTCTCAGTCTTCATTGCCATCACCCCCACCAAATCCTTTTGGAAGGAAACAATCCTGTGTGATTGCATGGTAAAGCTTGGAAATGTGGTGTGAGAGCCCCCTTGAAAGCACAGAAGATTACCGTAACATTTTCAAATAGATCTCTTAATTCTCTGGCACAGTTCCAGAGGTCTTGTGGTTGACAACCCCTTACAAAGAAAACACATATCCCAGCCCAGCAGTAACAGCATTTCATGTAAACATCAGGCACATCAGGAGAGCTACAGAGAGCTTTATCTAAGCAGTGCTCATGTGCTTGTCATCTGTGAGGGCTGTGCCCACAGCACCACGAGAAAGGGGAGGGAACCCAACTGAACCCACTTGCCAAGCAAGGAAGGCCCTCAGGCAGAAGTATTTTATTTTCTAAGAGTATCACAGAGTGGACAGATAAGCACCAATAAGCATTTCTGCCATGACAGCAAATAGGTCACTGCTGATGGCAGCTCCCTACTGTGCAATAATAGCAGGGCAAAAGTTTTTAATCATCCATTAAGGCAATTACTCCTGATACTTTGAGACATAGAAGAGCTACACTTCAGAACTACCCATTTTATCCTTCTAGCATGTTATTATTTCAAAGACATGGGCTAAGAGGCTATCAGGAGTGGGCATTGAGGCATTTCCTGCCCTGAAAATTAGGTGGTATTTCCAAAGCATTTTTCAGCATGCATCAGAAAAACAACAGCTTCTATACCCCTTCTTCACCCAAGAAAATATTAAGAGTGAGATACTGTTTTTTTCTGGAACGGTTGCTACCTCATTCATAGCATTTTCCATGGGAGTGGTAATAATAATGCCTCTAATGTGTAGTCATAAAACAAACAGTGAAATCAAAGTGCATTCCAAATTTTAAAAAAGAGTGGACAATTACTGCCCCTGCTCAGTTGCTAAGCAGTTGGCTCAGTGCATGACGTATGTGGTTCTTATTCCAGTGAGGTCACAAATACTTCCAGCTGAATGTTAACACTGGGTATTTTTCTTTCCCTTTCAGAAATGGGTCGTGTTGACACCAAAGTGCAGTTCTGACCACTCTGCTCACTTGGCTGCTCCCCCAGGGGTATCAGCTGCCTGATTCTTGCAGGAGCAAGGATACTGAGACTCCAGCTCTTCATCCCATTGCAAAAGCTGATGACATTGCTAACACCAGCAATGAGAGATACAGAGTCCTCATCTCAGAAGTGGAGAGACTGCCAGCCTTCAGTGTATGAAAGCTGATTTTGGTGTTCACCAGTGTGCCAGTGGGAGCAGAGCCAGCCTGCCTTGTGCAAGTGGAAGGTTATAGAGGAGAGATCAAATGCTGATATTTGATGTAAATCACAATTCAAGTCCTTGTCTGCACAACATGACTGCTGGCTATAGGTATCAAGTGTGATGATTTGATTCCTTTGTGCTGACCAAACACAGCACAGTTCTGTTGGGTTTTTGGGACACCAAATTGTACCCTAATGGGACAAAACACTTACCTGACTCAGTTCATCACACATCTTTGAGTCTTGTAAAAATTAACTGGCTGGTTCAAGATGGCCTTCTATATCGTTGCCCTCATGCCCAGGAGGAAAAGGAGGTACCTGTCTTCACAGAGGTTGAATAAAAGCATGTATCTGGGATAGGAAAGGTATATTCTTCTAAAATCAGTGTCTTAGTTAAGCTGAATCTGCATTGAACAGGCAAGGAGTGGACAACGAACCTGGTGCTTTTGGACATTAATGTGTGAAGAATCCCTGCTTTGGTGACACAGTGGAAATCTGGAGATCAATCTCATTATATTCTAGATGATGGAACATTTTTGTACATACTATTTTTTCTTTTGCTTGTAGGCATCTTATTTTGTAACTTCAGCCAGTGGGTTTATAGGAGTATTGATAATACCTGGAGAAAATTGCTCTGAGAACCAGGTGAGCGTGTTACTTCTAGTTTGCTTTCCTTATGAAAATTTTATGGTATGACTCTGTTTACTTGAATTTCTTTGCCCAGATGTAATTAGGATGAATTCTTTATGCTCAGCTTGTATCATCTCAGTGTGTTTACTTATTTATTTTCAAAAAAATTGTGTTCAACACTGGTGAATTACAGCTTTATGCATCAACACTTACCCAGTTATAAACTGTAGAAGTACAAGATGCAAACTGAATAAGTTCATTATAAGTGAGGTTTGGATTTTTTCCTATATTTGAAACCATTCAAACTGTAATGCAGGACTTAAATGATTGTCAGAAATATATTTTATCAGATTCTTTCCTATTTTTATGTTAACAGTTTAATGGCAGTTAAGCCACAATTTTGTAGACTATTTTCTCAGAAATAAATAGTTCATACTCTTTTGCTTGTTAGTTTGTTTTCATTCAGTTTTGAAATGATAGCCCTAATTTTGTGGATTGACTGCTACTATGGGGTTTTGAATTCTAATTTCTTGTAATCCCACCTGCAGGCAGGTAGTGAACAGAATATTTCCTTCAAATAAAACTATAGTAAAGATGAGACTAAAATGCAAATACTGTGCAAATCTTGCCTTTTGTTGATGCTTTAATGTAGAGCTGGACTCCTGAAATTCTTTCTTTTCTCACTTGAGGGTTAGTGAAAAGGAGATAGGGATTCCAGAAAGCAGAAGATGTAAATTTAGATGCTCATTGTCTTCAGCTTAGCTTTGTTTGTTTTTTGGTTTTTTTAAACTGATTTGCATAAATTTATTTCTCCTGCCAACTAAGCAAAAAGCACACACAAAGTTCTGGTGCTGTTGTGCAGGTGCAAAGGTCCACAGCTGTCCTGTGCATTTCTTGTTGTTTTGTATTTCCTCTTAACTGGAAACCACAGACATGCAAATCTAGTAAATGTAACATACAGCTTTGGAGCATATTCAGAGAATGTCCTCTTGCTTGTCCACAAATATGAATTATTTTAAAGATGACTAAGAAGGAAATAAATTTTACTTTACTAGCTTAACAAAATAGGACAGACTGGCTGAAAAATAGTGGGTTAGTGTTGAAAAAGAGAGTACTTTTATGCCTAATATGGGATATGCTCAATTCCCATCAGACTCATGTTCTTGAGAATCATGGATCTGAGACTTGATGCTCCTGAATTCACTTTTTCGTGCTTAACACATGCACTGTATTTGTCAGAGTGGAGGCTTCCTTGCTCTGGCAGCTCCAGCCTGAACCCTGCTGGCTTTGGATAGAAATTCCCTGGAGTTATTTCTATGCATATTGAGCAATTATTTGCCATTCCTTGACACATTGCTCAGCTCACTGCTCCAAGGGATACTCGCATGCACCAGGCAACATTTGATGCAGAACTGCTCTCTAGGATACCTAGGGGAGTCCACTTTTCTTTAAAATTACAGCAGTGAACTATCGCTGGAAAGAGAAATGTTTCAAATTCTTGTATCATTCAACACAGTAACCCTTCCTCCATCCCTGCCTCAGTGCTGGAGAATACCTGGTTTATGTCACTGTGCAACAAGGTCTTGTCACTTCTGTGCCAGGTGAAGCCTTTCCTTTCTGAACTACTTCCCTTTGCAGTTTTAAAGGTCTTGAAACTCATTAATCATCACTGATTCAAGTAACACAGCTCTGGATTCATGGCTTTAGTGACTGTGAAGTAAAATTGAGTTTGTAATCTGTCAGCTGTCTTACTTCACAAATTAAACTGTGGAGTCTCTGCAGAGTCTATGGCTTTTGAAATCCCTGGAGCTTTTCTTTCTGTGGTTTGTAAAATGCAGCCATAGCAGCTCTTTGTCTCATGAAAGCACTGACTGAATCACAGAGGTTCATACAGACCTTGCAAAGATGTTATGAATAGGACAAGTACAGGGTTGTCTCATTGTCATTGAGACTGCACTTTTTATTACCTTATTTTGAGGAAAGGGAGTTGCACTTTTTTTTTTTTTCTCTGATTTAATAATTGTACCAAAACAGGAACAGTTGCTTTTGGGAATTTCTGCATGGGGCAAAGCTCCTGGCAGCTACTTTGCTCTTCCCAGGCTTCTCTGAAGGAGCATCACCCCTGAACTTGATTCAGCTTTTTCACCCTCTGGCTGAATATGGTGACAGACTGACAAATGCTTTGTCCCTTCCAACTCTTTATATATAATTTTTCCTACAAGTTGGCAGGCAGAACCTCTGCCTTTCCAAGTCTCTCCAATGAGGACTACAGACATCCCTTTCTGAAATAACTCCATTGATACCCATCGGTTCAGGATAGGTGACCTGTGCATTTCTGCTCCTCAGATAATCACAATGGTGAGCACAAGGTGTGAGCATGTCCTGACTTCACTGGGATTATTTCTATTCACTTGTTCCATAGAAAAGATAGAGCACTGCTCCAGTTCTGGAATTGCCAGCTCAGTCTCTTTGTTCACTGACCATAAGAAGGAGATTTTTTTTCCACAGCTCCCTGTCATTTTTTCAAATTTCCCTGTTGTTTTTTCAAACAACTCTAAACAAAGCCTTTCCCTCATGGAGCAAAAGTTAAGAAGTAGCTTTTTCTCTTTTTCAAGCTATAATTACTTCTGTTATTTCTCAGACTTGAAAACAAACAAACACAACCCCAAACAGTTCAATCCAAGTCAAGGAAATTGCTCATTTTTCTTGCAGGAACAGAAAAAACACATGACAAATATTATCTACCACTTGGGCTATTGGGACATATTCATTAGAGGTGGTGGAAGCAAGTTCAGACTCCCTCCTAGAATGAAAAAAATTCTTTCTCTATATTTGCTATCCCTGGTGCTTTGGGAGTATATCCTCCTTGATTCTGGTGACTCTAAGCTTTCCTCTCACCCGATTTACCCAGCAAGACTGTATGACTTCAGTTCACTATTTTCTCACTGATTCTGCCCAGTACATAAGAGCATAAGACCAGATGTTTGGATTAGGGCACCCCTGGGCAGGGACTGGAGCTGTGGGTGGCTGCCATGGGGTCATGGGAGTGGGGCAGGGGGAGCCCCAGGGGGCTGCCATGGGGCAGTGGTGCTCTCAGGGCTCAGACATCTGGGTAGCCATACAAATTCTCAGCATCCACGACATCCATGAGCATGGCAAGAGATCTATTAATCCACCACATACCTTTTGTATGCCTAATCCCCTCCCTCTTTGTTCTACCGCTCCATGGACAGAGACCTGGGTGACCAAAATACTGTGATTTTGTCTGTAAAACACACATTCCCTCAAAAAAGAAGGAGAAGCCAGAACCTAGAGCTACCTACTGCTTCTGGCTTCTTTCCCTGAATGTCCTTTACTGTTTCTGAGATACTTGGCTGTTCCTGGCTCATGCAGTCAGACATCTTAGTCCAAAATAAATACCTAGTGAAAACACCCTGAGCTCAGTTCAGGCATTTTGTATATGATCTCTGCTTTCAGTTACCTCATTCCATAAAAATTATCATAGCTGTTTTGAATGCCTGTCCTGTATTAAAGGAGGACTGCTACGTGCAAAGCTCCAACAAAGGACATAGCACAGAGACCTCTTCTTTTCCTGAGATGTGAAAAAAGGGCTGTGTCCCATCTCTGTGCACAGTCTGGGCTTTTTATCTGCTGTTCCTGTGCTTGGACAGCTGAGAAGTGAACAGGCAAGGCATTTCTTTCAAGCATGACAAAGAAAAAGCCCCAGACCCCTATGAACCAGGACCGAAAGACAGAAAATTGAGAGATATGTGTGATAGGAGTAACTGGACACATTTCTGGCTCGGAAGACTGATCTCGGGATCTCATCCCCTGCCCTGCAGCCCTCTCCCCTTTTGTGATAAGCGCTGGCTGCTGCCCCAGGCGAGGAGCCCTGCTGGGGAGGGAGGCAAGGGCGAGCGGCGGCTGCCCGGGCACTGCCAGCCCCGGCTCCCCGGGCAGTGCCGCCATCAGCCGCCAGAGGGCGCCGCCGCCACGCAGCTCCGCAATAAAGCTTGGCCAGAGGAATGAGCGGGATAAAAACCCAGCCAGAAAAGTCGTGGTGCTGGGAGTGAACGCAAACTCAGGCTCACACGGACCAGGGAATATCCCACCATTGCCATTTCCATCTGCGAGTGGTGCAAGTTTTCCCTTTTACTGTCCTACTTATTGCCCAGCCTTTCTACATCGATTGTCTGAAAGAGGCAGATGCATACAATGCTCAGA